GCATAACCATCGCCAGTAACACCGCTACCCTGATCATGAGAATCATCATCATCATCATCATCATCAGCAGCAGCAGCAGCAGCATCAGCAGTACCATCATCACCGCCATCATATTGATCATCATCATTACCATCACAATTATAAGCACAGTCATCACCGCCATCATCACTATCGGCCGTCATCCAGCTACGACCTCATTGGACGCCCCTCCCGCCGCAATTCCTTCCTTCTCCAGCATGCCTCCTTTCTCCTCCGACATCGTCTTCCCTCCACCTGCTTACGCCCCGCATCATCTCTCCCCCAGTCCTACGTCCTTTACGCATCTTCCCACCCGCTTCCCTCCCTGCAACTTCCTTCTCCTCCCCTCCCCCCCGTTCTTTCCTCTTGGGCAATCTAGCAGCCATCTTTGACGCTCTTGCTGCAAGAGTCTTGCAACGATATTGGGCAGACTCGGAGCCCCGAGTGCCACCGGAGTGGCCTCATTGGCGGGGGCCACTTCCTATGTAGGAGGGGAGCTGCGACCCCAGGCCTGGGGCCGGGAATCTCCCATACATGCATATTCAGAATAATTGGAAATGATTATTTGAAACAATTATGGGGGATCCCGACAGGGTTCCGACAGGGTCCCGACAGAGGGCTGTGTCATTGCTTTTCCGATGGTTCTGTAATGGTTTTCAATAATTCAGGAGGTCCCGACAGGGTCCCGACGCAGGCGCTCTTATTTAAGGTTGTAAATTGCTTTCAAATGCCTCCCATGCGTGGAAATTCGCTGCCCCCTGCTTGGTGGGGGGCGCGTTCCGTGCCCATGTTCAAGCTGCCTGGAAGCCTCCAGGACGCCCCGAGAGAGATCCAAGAGCGTTCTGAGACGCTTCAAGATGACATCAAAAAGAGCCAAGGGCCCCCAAAGAGGGCCCAAAGAGGGCTCCAAGAGGTCCCCCAAGACGGCCCCATGAGATCAACCTCGTCACGTTCCTTTTGGAACATATGCTCTTTTTATCAGATTCGTTTCCTTGGATCTTCAGAGCGTCCGAAACAGCCCCAAAGGCGCCCGAGGTCCCAAGACGGTTCAAGAGGGCCCCTAGATGGCCCAAGAGGGCCCCAAGACGGTCCGAGGAGCAACCAAGGCGGCCCAGAGGGCCCCAGGAGAGCTCAGGAGGGCGCCAAGAGCGTGCCGGGGAGGGTAGTGGGACACTACCTTGGGGGGAAGGCTCCCAACATGCCCCGGTGACCCTCCCGGAGGCCTTCAGGACGAGGCACTCAGAGCCTTCCGAGGGAACCCCAAGAGGCCCTGAGAGGCCCCGCAGAGGCCTGGTAGAGGCCTCCAAGAGGCCCTTGACAATAACTCAACGAGGCCCCGAGACAGCCAAGACGCCCCTCCCTCACGACTCAGGCACAAGTATGGCTTGTATGGTTTAAGTTGCGTGTGACAGTATAAAGGTACGCTATATGCGCAGGTGTGTACCGGGTGTGCATATATGTTCACAATGTGTGTGTACACGTTGTAACGTGCTGATTACATGCACATGTTTGCGTATGTATGTATGCATGTACCTACGAGTGCATGTATACATGCATGCAGCGATTTATATATATATAATATATATATATATATATATATATATATATATATACATACATATATATATGTGTATGTTCATGTATGTGCACGTATATGTGTGCATGTATGCATAACAACGATGCTGAAATAATTAGCCTTGCAAAGGGCCTAACTCAATGCAGCTGGTCGTAGCGCTAGGCGCGGCCCTCTCATCGTATACTGCGCGCCGCGGGGCAGTGCTGAAAGTGGGCTGCTGCGGAGCTAGCGCGCAGAAGCACGTTGTGAGGCGCGATCTTCGCGAAGCGGGTGGCCCCCTCGCGAGCTCGCCCATTGAAGCCGTAGGTGGAGCGCGATCCGCGTGAGGCGTGGGCCGAAATGGACGTGGTGAAGCCATGCGCCAGTGGAGGTCCTTGCGGGGCACGATCAGCATCAGTGGTGTGCCGAAGTATGCGGGGGTGCATCATGCAAACGCACCCTCTGGGGCCGTCGGTGGAGGGGTGCACCGAAATTGATGGAGGGACGCCAACAAGCATAATCTCTTGGGCCGTAGGTGGAACTGCCTGTGGGGCACGGTTCGTGTCAGGGGTGTGCCGACATGGACGGGCGGCGGGATGCGAACCTCGTACGGTAGGTTCGCGTCGTGTCGACCAGCGGCGACTCCGCCGCGATGTTAATTAATGAGAGCGCCGCCGGTGGCCCAGGATCGGTTGACGTTGAACGATTGGCCGTCTCGGAAACGATCGATCGTTCAAGGTTGAACGATCCCCGCGGAGTCGGGGGACCAACGCCAGGGTCGACACGAAACGAACCCGCCGTATCTGGGGTCGTGAGTGGAGCTCCCCGTAGGGCACGATCGGGGACGCAATGCGAAACCGTCCGCTGGGGCGGCACGTGGAGCTCCCTGTGGGGCATGATCCTTGCGAAGAGTGTCGAACTGCACGGAGTGACGCCATGCGAAGTTTGCTTCTGCCACCGTAAGCGGAGCTCCCAGCTGGACACGGTTCATGTGAGAGGTGGGCCAAAAGTGGCGAGGATACGCTACATCTGTAAATAGATGTATGTATGTGTATATCTGCTCCCTGCCTTTCTCCAGAGGTGGCGCTCCATGGGGGATGTGCCGAAATCGGCGGGGGGACGCTTTGCGATCCCGCCTCGTTCCTCTCCCTCCCTCCGTTCCTCCTCCCTCCACCGCCCTCAGGCAGGATATCTTCTCATCTGACTTTCCGCCTGTATGCTCGGCTCTCTCTCATCCATCTCTCCTTCTGTCTTGGTGTTCAGCTCTCCTTGATTGTCTCCTTCCTCTCGCCTGTATGCTCGGTTCTCTCTTATTGTTCCGCTCTCCTTTCTCCCCTTCATTTGCAAAAGAGGCCGATGGCACTTGCGACCCCCAGTCCAGCTTCCCTGGATTTTTTCCTCGGGATCCCCGTCTTTGGTTGTCTTTGGTTGTCTGAGTTCCCAGGGGTCCTCGGGTTCGTTTGCTTCCGTGCATTGGCTTGTTTTACATTGAATTGCATGGAGTTGCTCATCGTGTCATTCGCTGCATATGCATCCAGCTGCCTTACGGTGATTCCCGCCACCGTGCTTGCCTTGTGAGCTATAGGCCTCTTGGATGTTCGTTGGGATATCGTGGGAGGCCTCTCGAGGGCCTGTTGGAAGCAATGTTGAAGCCTTTGGGGCGGCGTCTGGGGGCCTTTTTTGAGCCTCTTGCAGGCCTCTTGGGGCTTCTGAGGGGCCTCTTCGGGTCTCTTGGCGGCCTCTTCGGGCGGAAGGCTCGACTTGTCGGTTCGTGCTCCCTTCTTGGGTCACTCCTGGGGTCTACTTGGGGATTTCGTGGGCAGTCTTGGGCGCCTCTTGGGCCTTTTTGGAGCCCTCTTGGGTTGTCGTGAGACCTTTTTGGGGGCCTCGTGGGCCGTCTTGGGGGCCTCTCAAGCCGTCTTGGAGCGTCGGAAGTTCCAAAGACATAATGGCGAGTGCCTCTCGGGGCCTTCTTGGGGATCCTCTTGGAGCGCTCTTGAGGTTTCTTTGGGGGCCTCTTGGACCGACTTGGGGCCATCTTGGCCGTCTTGACGCGCCCTTGGGCTGTCTTGGAGTCCTCTTGGGCTGCTTGGGTGTGCTTCATGGGCCGTCGTGGAAGCTTTGGAGGGCCCCAGGGAGGCGCCATGGCCGCCCAGGGACCCCCGGCAATAGGGGCGATACAGTCAGGTGGGTGCGGCTTGGAGGGGGGGGGCCTTAGAAGACTACACAAATTTGCTTGACCGCAATTAGCATTCTTCGACGCCTCAACGTGCCCAAGGCACGTTGGCGGATTACTTGGTGCTTCATATTGCATCGGTTCGCATGGTTTTGTGTTGCAGTCATCTGAATGGCGTTGCGTTGCCTTGCATTTTGTTGTGCTGCATGTGTTGTGCAATGCTTTGCGTTGCATTGCACTTGCATCTGGGTTCCATGTCAATACGTTACATTGCACTGCCATTGTGTTGTGTCCAGCCCTTCCACTGCCTTGCACTGCTGTGCATTGGTTTGTATGGATGTATCATTGTCGGCAAGTCGCCCTGTCCGTGTATTCATACGCCTACACATCATGGTCAAACCTGTTGTAGGTAAGTGCTCCAGTTGAGCTCTGAATGTGCCAAGCGCTGGGGCTGGCTAGAACCTTTGCGAGTGCGAATGGTTCTAGTAGGCAGGTATATACGCATCGAAGCGCAGCGTTGATTCGTTTACGTCTATACCATTATGGTACACGTGTAGCCGTGGGTTCACGTATCACATCATCGCTATGTACACTGCATTTTAAATAGTACATAATGTGTATATAGTATTGAAATAAGATGTTAAGTCGTAACGTACTAGAAACATGTTTTTGTCAAAAGGGATATACCTATGGACTCATATTTTAATACGACTGAATATCCACAGACATGCCATATGTTTACAACGTGCCGCTAGGGCTATGAATAGTGTATTGTGTGTTGTTTGTTGTGTTTGCTAATGAGATGTTGTCAGAATCTCCTGACAAGTGATCCAAATCCCGCAGGCTACCCCCTAACTAGTGTCGGGACTATCGATGTGGGTACGGAAAGGTGGGTCACGATGCCCAACAGCAGTTCCTGTTCATTTCGAACAGGACTCGCTGACCGCGCCGCTGCGGGCGTTCTTCACAGACAGCCGCCGCCCAACAGCGGCCGCTGTCTGTGGCGGAGGGACGGAGTGGGAGGGATTCAGCGGGAGGCAGGCAACGGTGCGGAGAAGGAGGAGGAGGAGGGGGGGGGAGGAGGAGGGGGGGGAGGAGGAGGAGGAGGAGGAGGAGGAGGAGGAGGAGGAGGAGGAGGAGGGCGTCCAAATATCGAGGGGGTCTAAACGCTCATCGCGGTTAAGTGCGATGGGGACAACGTAGCCCTCCCCCTGCGGGCGGTGGCGTCGAAGAGCCGAGGCCCACCCGCAGGCCCTGCGCCGCCCGCTGCACGACGCCGCGTGCATGTTCGAGAGCGCCGTGGCGGAGCCGGGGCACACCCCGGGGGGCAAGCGGACGGGAGTCGGCTGGTGGAGGAGGAGGAGGAGGAGGAGGAGGAGGAGGAGGAGGAAGGAGGAGAGCAGGAGGAGGAGGAGGAGGAGGGAGGCGGGGGAGGAGGAGAAGGAGGAGGGAGGGGGAGGAGGAGGGAGGAGGGAGGAGGAGGAGGAGGAGGAGGCGGAGGAGGAGCAGGAGGAGGAGGAGGCGGAGGAGGAGGAGAGGAGGAGAGGAGGAGGAGGAGGGAGGAGGAGAGGAGGAGGAGGAGGAGGAGGAGGAGGAGGAGAAGGAGGGGAGGAGGAGAGGAGGAGGAGGAGGAGGATTAGGAGGAGGAGGAGGAGGAGGCGGAGGAGGAGGAGGAGGAGGAGGAGGAGGAGGAGGAGGAGAAGTGGGGGGGGAACGGGGACGAGATTCGAGGTTTCGGGTTGGAGTTTTTTTTTTAATTGCCTCAGGGAGCAGTGCTCGAGCCCCGGGACCATCAGAAACGGACCTGGGGTGAAAGATTGTACCAGATGGAATCTGGGAGGGATCCTGGGACCGATTTCGAGCGGATTTGGCGTCACCCCCCCTCCTGGACGATTTCCTGGGGTCCTCACCAGTTCAGACCCCACCGCCGCTTCCAACGAGAAGGTACCAGTACCGCTACTCCCCGGGCCTCTCCCGGGGTGCACTCTGACCAGAGACGTGGCGGCGAGAGGTCCCTTGGACGAGCAGCGGTATTGCTATCTTTTTCCTGCTCCGAGGTACAGCGGCGAGTGGGCTAGAGCGTGGAGCCGCGCCGAGAAGCTGCTGCGCTCGGGGGACTACGACCTGCTGCTGTACTCCAGCGAGGCCCTGCTTGCAGCGGCCGCCGCGGAGCCCTCCAGCGCCGACGCGCCGGCAGGAGAGGCCTCGCGCGCCGCCCGGACACCCCAGGCGCTGGCGCTGAGCGGCATGCCGCGCGCGCTGGTGCGCAAGGTGCTCCTCCAGTGCTGCGCGTCGCTCATGCCAGAGCTCAGGGAGGCCGAGAGGCTGCGGACCCAGGTGGCCCGCTCGGTGGAGTCGCAGCGCGAGTCCACCCGCTCCTACCTCGAGGAGCTGTCCAGGCTGAGGCACAGGCTGCGCGGGGACCTCGAGGGCGTGCCAGACGCATCCTTTGCGAAAGAGGACAGCTACTTCTGGGACTGCCTCGCCAGTCTCCCAGAGGACCTCCGCGACGTGGCAGCGGCGGTGCTCGTCGAGAAGCTGAGGTGCTACGCGACGCAGAGCCAGGTCGGGTACTGCTAGAAGTGCCCCTGGCTCAAGGTGCCCCCAGGATTTCCGAGGAGGCCCCCACAGCATCCAGAGCGCCCCCCACAAAGTCCAGAGGGCCCCCGGGGCTGCAAAATTGAGCGAGAGTTGGGCCAGGGGCACCTTCCCTGAGATCCGACTTTGCAAAACAATGCAACATCGCAAACACAAACGCGACACGAGCTCTGGGCCCCCTCTTTCTGCGCAATTTTTCGAGCCGGATCGAGCCGTGAGGGTCTTGGGGCCCGAAATGGAGCGAAAACGCCCGCCGTGAACAAACATGTAACGCCAGGATTTCAGGGTTTAGCAACCCTCGACCAGGGGGCCACCCTCGCCGAGTTCAAGACCCTCGCGAGCCGCGCCCTCGAGCGCCTAGCCGGCCACCGCAGCGAGCGCGAGGAGCTGCGGCAGGCCGCCGAGGAGGAGCGGCAGCGCGCCGCGGACCTGGCGAAGCAGCTGGCGGCGCAGCACGCCAAGTTCGGCGACCTCGAGGCCAGGTGCCCAGGGAGGCAAAGCCACTCCGACCCCGACGTGTACTGAGCCCGGGCCAGGACAAAGATAAATCCGCTCTAGAGCGTACCCCGGAACGCTCTCAGAGCGTTCCGGAACACTCTGAGAAGGCCGCGGCGCCCGGTACATCCTCCAGAGCCGCCGGATCACGGAGATTCTCGATTTGTCCTCGCCCGATGTTATCCTCGCCCTGGTTTCGTTTCAGTTTGCCAGACGACCCTGGGCGGTTACGAAGCAGCCCTGCCCTGTTCGACTCCTGCCTCGGGTGCGTCTACGCAAACGGCTTCGCGTGTCGGGGTGCTTCTGATGAGGGAGGAGGAGGAGGAGGAGGAGGAGGAGGAGGAGGAGGAGGAGCAGGAGCAGGAGCAGGAGCAGGAGCAGGAGCAGGAGCAGGAGCAGGAGCAGGAGGAGGAGGAGGAAGAAGAGGAGGAGGAGGAGGAGTTGGATTTCTGGCCCTCTTAAGGTACGAGGGCGAGCTCGTTGAGAAGGGCCGCTCCCTGCAGCTGCAGCGCGCCGCGGCGCTGCAGGCGCAGGCCGAGCAGGCCCGGGCGCTGCGCCTCGAGGCGGAGCTGGCGGAGCACAGGCAGCTGCAGGAGCTGATGGGCTCATTTTCCACCACACCACTACCAGATGCAGGAGAGGGAGGAGGAGGAGGAGGAGGAGGAGGAGGAGGAGGAGGCGGAGGAGGAGGAGGAGGAGAAGGAGGAGGAGGAGGAGGAGAAGGAGGAGGAGGAGGAGGAGGCGGAGAAGGAGGCGGAGGAGGAGGAGGAGGAAGAGGAAGAGGAATAACAGGAAACACAATAATAATATTAATAATACTACTAATACTAATTATACTCATAATAAGAATAGTGATGCTGATCATATTAATAATACGAATAGCAATCATATTAATAGTATTACTAATAATATTGATACCAATAACAATACTAAGAATATGAATACTAATAATATTATTAATAATGATAATAATAATAATACTAATAATAATAATGATAATAATAATAATAATAATAACAATAACAATGACAATAACACTGCTACTAATACAAAGAAGAATAAGAATAATAAGAATAATACTCATAAGCATAATAATAATAAGATTAAAATGAAGACGAACAAAACGAATAATAATCAACATAATAAGAGTAGGAGGAGGAGGAGGAGGCGGAGGCGGAGGAAGAGGCGGAGGAGGAGGAGGAGGAGAAGGAGGAGGAGGAGGAGGAGGCGGATGACGAGGAGGCGGATGAGGAGGAGGAGGAGGAGGAGGAGGAGGAGGAGGAGGAGGGAGGAGGAGGGAGGAGGGAGGAGGAGGAGGCGGAGGAGGGAGGAGGAGGAGGAGGAGAGGAGAAGGAGGAGAGGAGGAGGAGGAGGAGGCGGAGGAGGCGGAGGAGGAGGAGGAGGAGGTGGAGGAGGAGGAGGAGGCGGAGGAGGAGGAGGATGAAAAGGTGGAGGAGGAGGAGGAGGAGAACCTCCTCATCCTCCCTTCTCCCCCGTCCTACATATGGTAGCGGTTGTGGAGCACTTGCCCATCAGGAGTTGCAGCAGCTGGCGGCGGAGCGGCATAGGGAGGAGCTGCAGGAGGCGCGCCAGGGGCCAGCGCGCATCCCGAGGAAAGGGCCCCGAGGTCCGTCGCCGTGGTGGGCCCCCCCGGGGCCCTCCGCAGTCCCCAGGGCTGCTCGGGGCGAAGAGCTGGCCTTGGGGGTAGACCCCAGGCCGAACGAACAACACGCACGCATACCCAGAGGGGGGACGGAGGTGGCTATGGGTGCGTGCTGTCGGGGGGTCCCTGCTCCAACGGGCGCCTCCCGATGGGTCGGGTTTGGCCATTGCCAGGCCTCCTCCCTCCGACCCCCCTATATGGGTAGGGGTGCGGGTTGTTCGCTCGTCGAGGGAGGAGGAGGAGGAGGAGGAGGAGGAGGAGGAGGAGGAGGAGGAGGAGAGGAGGAGGAAGAGGAAGAGGAGGGGGAGGGAGAGGAGGAGGAGGATGAGGAGGAGGAGGAGGGAGGAGGAGGAGGAGGAGGGAGGAGGATGAGGAGGGAGGAGGAGGGAGGAGGGAGGAGGAGGAGGGGGAGGGAGGAGGGGAGGAGGAGGAGGAGGAGGAGGAGGGAGGAGGAGGAGGGAGGAGGAGGGAGGAGCGGTCGAGGGCCCGTGTCCCTCGGATGGCCTGCTGGGCTCGTGCCACAAGGCGAGGTCCAGGCTGGCGGAGAGCGAGCACAGGCTGCTGCTGGCCGCACGGGAGCAGCAGGAGCTGGCGCAGCGCAGGCTCGAGGGAGGAAGCACACTGACCATGACCAAGATGTCGCGGGATTCGCCTCCTCCTCCTCCTCCTCCTCCTCCTCCTCCTCCTCCTCACCCTCCTCCTCCTCCTCCTCCTCCTCCTCCTCCTCCTCCTCCTCCTCCTCCTTGTCGACGCCGACCTTGGTCATGGTCCATGCCGGCCCGCCGCCGATCGCGAGGATGACCCACGAATTGACACTGACCGTGGTGGATGATGACCAAGATCGACACGAAGCTTCCACGTTCAGTCTGGGTCATGGTCCCTGCATTTCCCCCCCGTCCCCAGGAGGGAGCTGGTCGGCAGCGTGCTCTCGGACGCCCAGCCTTCGCAGACGAGCGTCAGCGACCTCGTGGTGCTCCACCTGCCGCGGGTCTGCAGCCAGCTGGCAGAGGCGCTGCAGGACGAGCGCCTCGGCGGCTGGCTGCTGGAGGCCGTGAAGGTCATCTCGGAACACCTGAGCAGGGCGGACGAGGCCCGCAGAGCCACCCAGGTCAATCAGGACCTCCAGCAGAGGCGGATGGACGAGGTCGAGGCCAAGCGCTCCGAGCTCCAGGCCCGCATCACCAGCGACAAGCTCGCCATGGCCAGCATGGAGGTCGTGAGGAAGATGCGCCTCGTAGAGAAGGGGGTGCAGGCTGGCGAGGAGCTGCAGGAGGCGGAGACGCAAACGGACGCTTTCGAGCTGGAGTCCTCGCCCCTGCCAGACAGCAGCCCGCGCAGCTCGTGCAGCGAGCGCAGCCCCCTCGGCAAGACAGACCCCTTCGAGCCATCGCTCTTGCCCCCGCGAGACAGCAGCCAACGCAGTCCGCGCAGCCCGCGCAAAAGCATGACGAAAGGCAAGGCCCCGCACTCCAGCAGCATAGCCTTCTCCATGGAAGCCCCAGGCGGCCCAGGGCCTCTGCCTGGCGGGCCCCTCACGGGCGGCCACCTCAGCCCGAGGGGCTCCACCACGCCGGGCGGGACACCAGCCGAGGCCCACAACGACGCCACCCAGCCCGCGGCGCCCCGTGGCCAGCCTTCCGCGGATGGCAACCACAGCCGGCGGCGCCCCAGGACGAAGCCCGACCGCCGCCAGGGCCACGGCTCGCCCGGGCCCGGGCCGGCGTCCTCCTGGAAGGGCGGGGGCCGCACGGACGGTTTGGGCCGCCAGGGCCCCTCCTCGCCGCGGAGCGGAGGCCACAGGAACCCCCCTGCTGGGCAGGGCCCGCCGGGGCCGGGCTCCGGGCCCGACCTGCCCGGCGGCCCAGGCCTCGCGCCGTCGCCTTCCCACGACGCGCCAGCGAGCGAGCTCGTCGCCCCGCTGCTTGCGCCCGGCGGCCCAGGCCCGGGCCTGGGGCACGAGCCCGACGTGGGCCGCAGCCTGGCAGCGTCGCCCGCAGGCGACCTGCTGGTTCGCGAGCACGCCGCCCCGCTGCAGGCACACAAGCGGCCGGTGCCTGAGCCCCTTCAGGACCGCAGCCTTGCAGCGCCACCTGTCAGCGGCGCACCGGTGCGCGAAGTGGCCGCCCCGCTGCAGGCACGCCGGCGCCCAGGACCCGAGCCTGATGCTGGCCGCAAGCTCGCAGCTTCTCCCGCCAGCGAAAGCGACGACGCGCGGATGCGCGAGCTCATCGCCCCGCTGATACCAGCGGGCGTTGCTGCCAGGCGCCCCCGCCCGCGCCCACCAGCGCCGTCGAGGATGCCGCACGCGACCTCTCCAGCTTAATGCTTCCGGGCGCGTCGATTGATTCAGTATTTGTTATTTTTCATCCAAGCTCCCCCTGTAGGGGGACAGGCCCGACTTAACAGTTGTTCAGGGCTCCTCAAGGTTCCAATGGATTGCTCATGAGTCCTCCGGATTTGTTTTGGCGGATTCCCCACAAGTCTTCGCAATCACATTGGATTCCAACGGATGCCTAAGGGATTCGTCTTAGATTCTTCGGGATTCGCCAGGGTTCCTTCGGAACAACTCAGGGTTCCTCCGGAACCCCCAGGACTCTTGAGAATCATTTTCGGATTCCTTGGGACTCCTTCGGAATCGTCAGAATGTTTCTTGGTATTTCAGGGTTCCCCAAGAACCCTCCAGAGTCCGTCGACTTCTGAAAAGTCCGTGTGGCCCCTTCTGGCTTATTCAGACTTTTAAAGTTTCCCGCCGGAACCTATACTATGATTAAGGATTCCGCCAGGTTCTTTAGAATTCTTCAGCACTCTTTGGGACCCCCCTCCTGATTGTTCAGGAAGTCAGAGGATCCCATCGGGATCCTCAGGACCTGATTCGTGGGCTTCTGACGAATCCTCAGCATCTTTTCGGACTTCAAGATGGATGTCTCGGTACAGTCGAGCATCTGATTCAGAAACCTTCTTCCGAACACCTGTGCCAGCGTTTCTGTTCCAGCTTCCAGAAAGCTGGCCCAGTTTCTTGAGCACGATCGCCCCCCTCCATCTTCAAAGCGCAGAAATATGCCCAGGCTCGTTTCAATCAGCTTCATGGAAGCTGGCCAAGAATTCTGATTTGATAATGTTGTTGATCATATGTCTGGCTGTCTTCCTCGCATATCATGGGGGCTGCTCATGAATGACCTGGGTCCTTCAGGATTCTGCAGGACTGTTGAGTTGCCATAGTTTAAGATTTCCAAGGATCCCGCCCCAGTAAGTTCTGACCCTCGAAGCCTCCTCCCTATCCTGCCTTTTTCCCTCTCCTCCCCCGTGCTGGAGGTACTTCGGTGGGGAGGGGTGAAGAGGATGAGGAGGAAGTCTCACGCATATTCGGTCGAGAGCCCTGGTGCCGAAGCCACTGCTGCCTCCTGCACTGGCGAGAGTGCATAAGTGTTGTTGAAGGCAGTACCTCCCGCAGCGCACGAGGTCCCGATCCCGCGTTCCGAGCTGTGGTAGCCTGATTACCGATTACCCTAAGACGGCCCAAGTCGAAGAAATGGCATCGACATTGGCATCAGGTTCCGTAGATCGGCACGGATTTCTGCGGCTGACGTTGGGTCCACCCTGGCAGCGCCCACGGCGGCGTCCCTGGCGTGCGGGGGGCACAGCGCCGATCCAAGCAATCCGCGCAGACATTCGAGAGCTTGTGTTCATGCAGATCTCGTGCTGCCTAGGGCCGAAGGGGCCAGACGTTGCCAAATGGGTCCTGCCCAGGCTGGCGAGACCGTCAACGCCGTCATGAGGCAGCCAGCCTTTCGAATGCCTTGTGTTCCGGTTGGGGGAGTCTGCTGGGCTGTGTCCGTGTCCCCCATATGGCATCTGCGTGGCCAGCCGACCACGAGCGAGGAAGCACGATTTTCTCACTGATACGGCGACGAGGACGACGAGGACGACGGATGCGGCGGCAGAGGCGGCGGCGGCCGTGCTCCCCTCGCGGAGGCCGAGGCGGCGACAACGACGACGACGATGACGACGACGACGACGATGACGACGACGATCACCACCACCACCACCACCACCACCACGGCGGCGGCGGCGGCAGCGGCGGCGGTGGAGGCGTCAGAGGCGGCAGAGGCGGCAGCAGCGGCGGCGGCGGCAGAGGCGGCAGACGCGGCGGCATAGGCGGAGGTGGCGGCGGCGGCGGCGGCAGCCGTGCTCCCCTCGCAGAGGCTCTTCGGAGCGCTAAGCCCGACCCATGACGGCTCGGAGGCGGCCTGGAGCAGCCCGCCGAGCCGGCCAGGCAGCGCCAGGCGATATGGGGAAGCGGGGCACTAGGAGTGCCAGCGCCCCCGTCGCAGGGGGGAGGAGGGCGGCGGGGTGCGCACGGCGTGGAGGAGGAGGAGGAGGAGGAGGAGCAGGAGGAGGAGGAGAAGGAGGAGGAAGAACGAGGACCAGTGTAACATCACGACTCATCAACGATGTTGGGATACACCCTCCCTCCAAGCTCCCTCTTAGATAGGCTCCTACAAGGGTTTATTTCCACTGAGGGAAGTGTCCCGTAGGGGACAACCGTGTGAAAACCCTCAAGCGCGGCCAAACAGCATTCTCAGGAGTGCAACGCCACGAGTTAACCTGACTGGCACGTCTTGGCGATCCTGAATCGTGCCAGAACGCCAATCCTGGAATTTCAACACCGTGAATCAGCGTAACCGTTGCGCCCCGACAATCCTGAACCATTCCAAAATACTGCCCCCAATCCGTGAAATGCTGGCAAATTTCTGAAACGAATATGCGCGGCGCTAATTCGAGAGCCACATTTTGAAAACGGCCCGCCCTTAACCCGTGAAGCTCTGGCACATGATACACCCGAATGTGCGCCTTGCAGGCGAGAGCCACATTTCAAAATCGAACCGCCCTCATTCCGTAAACTCTTGCCCATGTTTGAAACGAATGTACGCGGCGCTCAGGCGAGAGCCACATCTTGCAGACGACCCGCCCTCAATCCGTGACGCTCTAGCAAATGTTAAAGCCGAATGTACGCCGCGCTAAGGCGAGAGCCACATTTCGAAAACGACCCGCTCTCAATCCGTGATAAAACAAAACGAATGTGCGCGGTGCCAAGGCGAGAGCCACATCTTGAACACGACCCGCCCTCAATCCGTGAAGCTCTGGCAAATGTGTAAAGCGAATGTGTTCGGCGCTAAGATGAGAGCCACATTTTGAAAACAGCCCGCCCTCAATCCGTCTAATTCTATCAGTTCTTTGAAAAGAATGTGCGCAGCGCTACGGCGAGAGCCACATTTCGAATCGACCCGCCCTCCATTTGTGAAGCTGCTGCCAACTTGTGAGCTTCGTGAGGAAGTCTCAGGCGAAACGCCCAGCCCGCCCTTTCGACTGGCCTCGGGGTGCGATAGGGAGGAGTTACCCAGAAGGAAACAGAATGGAGGAGGAGGAGGAAGAGGATAAGAGGATACCCGCGCCCTCCTTTGCAGGGAGGCGGACGGCGATCCAGGCCGCCCAAGTGGACCCGGAGCAGGTAGGGTCACAGGATCGCGCCGCATCGCCGCTGCATCACCGACCTGGCGTGATCTGAAGCACTTTTTGAGTCTCCCGACGTCGCCGACGCATCACCGATTCATTAGCGACACGGCGCGTTCCTCCGACACCATCTGTTCGGACCCCATTCGGGAGGACTCTAGACGACAAGGTTCATTATGATGAAAGCGGGACCAGAGGGAAAGGGTCGGGTTGACCCAACAGGGAGTCCAGCGACAAGGGGGTGGTGCAATAGATCTGGTGTAATAAATTTGTTGGTTTGCAAAGTATTTTAGGCGTGCAATACATTCTGGGGCGCAAATATATCGCTGGACTTTCGCGTGCAATACCTCACTTGCAATACAATGCAATAAAATTCTCTGGCGCAATACATGTACAAAATCGTTGCCCCAAATCTAGTGCACCACCCCCTTTCAGCTGGACCCCTTTTGGATCACCCAAAAAGGGGGCCCGAGATCTGTTTTTGTCGACCTCGGCCTCTGGGTACCACTCCTAGGCCCTGGGGCCATCCCAAAGCGAGCGCCCAGGGGGTCTGGGACCCGTTTCCCTCAGGACCGTCTTCCTTCATGGCGTCGATGTGAATCAGAAGCCAGACGAAGGTTGGCAAACCCGTGGCTGCTAAAACGGAGCTCAGGGATATTGTTTTCTCCTGCCGGGAAGCAGCCCGTTTACTACTCAGTGCGTTGAGGCTTATTCCGGGATTTTTTTTATTCCGGGAAAACCGTTTTAGCAGTCACGGATTTGCCCGCTTTCGCCCAGCTTCCGAGTGAAGGAGGGCGCCCGACAGCCCTATTTCGGCGGGCAGTCTTGCCGCGCGTCTCCACGTCTCCCAACCAGGGCCAGAATGGATGGGGTCGGAAGACCGCGCCGCATCGCCGATGCATCGGCGTGCGTCTCGATGTGGAGCCCGTTCTTCTCCACGCCGAGGTCGCCGATGCGTCGGCGCTGCGGCGCGATCCTCCGACCCCCGCCTGGCCCAAGGCCAGGTAGAGGAGGTCGCCCAACCCCCGCTTACCCAATCTGCTCGGGCCAAGTTGGAGAAGCCTCCTTAGACGACCGGAAAGAGGAGGGCGCCCGACGCCCTGTTTCCGCGGGCGGTCTCGCCGCGCGTCGGGCCCTGGAGCCCTCGCGGGTCGATCCGGCTCAACAGATGCCGCGCTGCTTGCGAGTGGGGTAGGGCCCCGTGGCCGTCATCTTCCATGGCGTCGGATGCCACCGCTGCGAGACAGCAGGTGTTTCTCACTTAGTGGCGGCTTCGCTGCGAGCCACACGTGTGCCGCCACGCAGCCCTTGGCGGCAAGCGGTGCGGGTGCGCTGCGCGGTCATTTCCACCGCCATCGACGTAGAAAGAGGAGGAGGGGAGAAGTGAAGAGGGGGTGAAGGGAGAGAGGTCCTCCGACCCTTGGGCATCTGCGAGGGAGCTGCAGATGGTCGCCCGCGCAGGGCACCTCCACTCGCGCATGGTCCATGCCGATCCGAGCGATCAAGTTCGATATTCATTCCCGCCAGCCCGATCCGATTCGATTCCGACATTCCGACGATCCGATGCAGCCCGATGTTTGTATGGCGTTGTTGTGCATCCTGGCGCGGCCCATCCACTTTGATTTGAACCCCGTGCCGCTGCAGCCTGATCCGACGCACATTCCGAGTCGATCTGGTTTCCCGACTCGATGTTGATAGATCTTGCTCATGTGTTTCTTGAGAACCGCCCGATTCACCGCTGGCAGCGACTGGCAGAAAGTTTCCTCCGCAGCAGCGCACTGGGGGGCCCCCGCTGCACTGGCAGGTCCCCCAGGGAACTACGGCACCCACCTCCGATCCTTGGCCATAGAGTTCTTGTCTCCCGCACCCCAAAGCTCAGGCAAGCCTCTACGACGACGGCATTGCCGAGCGCGACGCATAGTTGGACAGTGTCTGCGCCAACCAGGACGCATTTCCTCTCTTCACCAGAGCTTACCGCACTGTGTGGCAATGCTCTCAGGGGCCCCCGCAACGGCCAAGCGGCAGCGGACTGAAAGGAGCGCATACTCCTTACACCAGGTTGAGCTCGGATATGATGCAGCACGATGTGAATTCTTGACGCTTCCCGTATTTCCACCAGCTCGAGCATTTTGTTTTTTGCATGTGCACATTCGCTTTCTTGCGGAGTTTTACTGCAGGTGCAGTGCCTGTTGTAGCTAATTAGCCTCGCCTGCTGGCCCAGACGACGCCTACCGCTCCCTGTCCGCCGCCTCGGAGCCGCCTACCAAAAAAGTATTTCCACCAGCCTAATGGCGCGCTCGCTTGCGGCCGCGAGGAAATGTATTTGCACCAGCTGCCCCTGCTTGCCCGGCATCCGACTCGTTTCGTGCGCCTGCGCACCCAAAGTATTTCCACCAGCCCTCCCGGACACGATCGCCAGGTGTGTTGCCCTGATGAGGGCAGCGTAGAAGCACACCGTGCGGGCAGCCGCCCTGCATGCCTTTCGGGGGTGCAGGGGAGGGCGGGAACATTTGTTTTATGATTAAGTCGGGCCTGTCCCTCTACAGGGGGAATATCCAAAAATAGTCAAAACATAGTCTGGGGACTATTTTTTGACCATTGTTTTGCATGTTTAGTGTATGTTTGTTGTTTTGTTTTTCGTCGAAAATCCCCATGTAGGGGGACACGCCCGACTTAGTTTTATGAGCCGCCAAGAGGTCACGATGGCCCCAGTTCGGTCCGGTTCGATCTGGTCCGGTGTGCGCTCGGGCCGGTTCCGCCGGTCCGGTGCGGATCGGGGAAACGTAAGACTCGAGTAAGCCGGAACTCGGGTTCGCCGACGTTTTTTGACGAGCGCGCCCTGGATTTCGACGGTCCAGTTTTCGTGGGATGTTTGCAGCGGAAGCTCGCGCCTTAAATTTTTCAAATTGGGCCTCGTCATTCTTATGATGGCCACGTCAGGCCAGCCCGGGTCCCCCGTACCCGGGTCTTACGTCTCCCCGATCAGAGCGTCGTCCGGTCCGGTCCAGTGCGAGTTGCGCGGAGGGTCCCGTCTGGCTGGTGCGGTTCGGTTCGGCACGTGCGGATCGGCCGAGAGCAGCGGAGGAGGAGGAGGAGGAGGAGGAGGAGGAGGAGGAGGAGGAGGAGAAGGAGGAGGAGAAGGAGGAGGAGGGAGGAGGAGGAGGAGGAGGAGGAGGAGGAGGAGGAGGAGGAGGAGGAGGGCAGCAGAGGAGGAGGAGGAGGAGGAGGAGGAGAAGGAGGAGGAGGAGGAGGAGGAGGAGGAGGAGGAGGGGGAGGCAGCCTGGACGACGACTACGACGGCGGCAACGGCGGTGGCGACGACGAAGATCCCCCGGGGGGTGGGGAGGAGGAACGAACGAACGAAGCAGCCATACGCCAAAAGCGCGTGGGCAAGGACAGGCAGAGCGACACGCCAAACGCGTGCAATAAAAAGTTACGCGAAGCAGCCTGCCAAAGTACAGAGACACACAACATCAGCATAGTAATACAAAGCGCCCGACTGTGAAGCAGAAAGAGCAGAGCGCCCCACGACTGTGAAGCGCAATATCTTTTTGCACTGCGAATCGTCGACGTAAGCCCGGCCTGGGATGACACAGCCCGCTGTCGCCGGACAGCTGATGCGATACGAAATTCATTGAAAACGTATCGGCTCTACCTGTGAGGACAAGAGGGGACGAGGAGGACGACGAGGAGAACGAGGAGGAGAAGGAGAACACAACCAATGCTAATGTATGAAACTATTCGTCTACGCTGTACAAAGCAAAACGTGTAACAAATTCAGACCATGAGTTCTCGTCAGTGGGACAACCCATCAAGGCGGATTCAGAACAGAAGCAATTGCGGATCTTATTGTATAGACACGTTGCCCACTCGTGTCTTGGGCGCCCGGGCGCCCGCGCGCACAGGTCAGCGACCGGCTTTACACTATCTGGTTGAAAAGTCAACCTCCTCAGCACATCTTCACCATTTGCTCGTCCTATCTTCCCAAACCATACCAATTGATGCTTTAGTAATTGAGAACTGTATGGCTGCACCCCCGCTTTTTCCAAAACGGTTCTATTGGAAATTCCTGAAATGTAAGAGTGGGGTATATTGAGAATTTGCCGTATACAGCGCGCTTGGAATCCATCCAGCCTCCTCCTTTCTTGTTTGTTCAGCCAAGCTGAATTTAAAGAATACATGACTTTGCTTGTTATGAGCGCCCCGAACAATTGGAGCTTTCTTCGCGTACTGACTGCGGTGTGCTTCCATGCTCTCGCGTATCTTTGAAATTCCCCCCATGCGGCCCCCAATCTCTTGCTTAATTCGTGCTTGAGTTTCCCATCGCTGTAAATAGAAGCACCCAGATACTGCATTTTCCCACTTGCTTTGATGATATTGCCATTTGGGTCTCGCAAGCTGATATCGCATCCAGTTTGAAGCAATTGGAATTTGTTCCAATGTAGTTCCATGCCAATTTCTGCACCGGCTTCCGCGATCGCGTCCAAGACGTGCTGCAAGTAAGTCTCGTGTTTACCAACCAGAAGGGTATCATCGGCATACAGAAGAATTGATGTTTCCCCATCCCTCAATGATCGGAGTGCGTCTTCTCCCAACTTGTCCTCTGCGCGCTTGATTACGACACTCATGACCATCACAAACAGGAAAGGGGAGAGTGGGCATCCTTGGGCTATGCCAGACAATTGGTTCCGCACCTGGGATCTCTTCGAACCCTCTGCCACGCAAAAGTTTCTGTTTTCATATATACTGCCAATGATGCTAAGCATATTGTCGGGCACACCAAATTTCCCCAAAGCTTCCAAAAGAGCTAAAACGTTAATAGAATCAAACGCCTTTTTCCAATCCAGGGCCAACAGAGCAATTTTCCCATCTCGCTGTGCATGCGCAATTTCAACATGCCGGCGCACTGCGTGCACAGCATCAGACGTACCCCGTTTTCTTCTGAAGCCAAATTGGGTTGATGTTAACAGTTCTTCTGCACCTGCGTGTTGAAGTTTTCCCAATAGCAAACTTGCAAGTAATTTGTACATAACACATAACAAACTGATGGGGCGGTAGTTGTCGCATTGATCGACGGGGCCTTTGTTTTTGTATATTGTTGATACACGAGCATGTCGCCATTCAGACGGTATTTGCTTCGCTTTCCAGCATGTGTTCACCATTGTTGCAATCCATTGCAATCCTTGTGGGTCGAGCGCCAAAGCTTTCCAGCATTCAGCTGGGATGTCATCAGGTCCGCTGGCTTTTCGACGTTTCAACTTCGATATTGCCTTTCCCACTTCTTGAACGTCAAATCCATCGTCAGGGATATGTAGAGGAGGTCCCAGGGAGCCCGTGTCCACGAGAGTCGCCGGACGCACTTTCCATTTGACCTTCTCCAAGAACTCAGCCATTGTATCTGCTTTTTCTTCGCTGTCCACTAATTCGCCTTTCAAGTTGCGGAGCCTCCCTTGTTTGTGCGGCTTTGGCCGGCATGCCTTCTTTAAGGCATACCACTCCCCAGCGCCGATTGTAGCATCAACCCAAGCAGTCTTATCTTGCTTAACAGATTTCCGCACTTCTTTCAACAATTGTTTTTCCAAAATCTTGTTGTTTCGTGAGCGCGCAATGCTTCGTTCAGCAATCAAGTCCAAAGTGCGTTGCGTAACCCATGGCTGCTTTGTTGCACGCTCCCGGCGCGGTAATTCAGCTTTCGCTGCTGCCACCGCTTCTTTTGCATTAGCCCAGAGATCTTCCACGTTATCTGTCACCACCGCGTTTGCCATGAATCTTTGTATGAATTGTTCGCGAGTGTGGTCATTGTCCAGAGCTCTGACGTCGCACGCTTGACTCTGCTTTTGCCGTTCTGGTGGTATACGTACCGCCATGTCGAACGTGACCAAGTAGTGATCCGTAGCTAAGGCTGCGTTTCGATGGCTTTGGAAGTTGTCGATTGTGTCCAGCATGCTAGGTTCGCATAGCAATAAATCCAAAATATTGTGAGTTGCTGGAGCGACCGGTGCCAGAGGCAAAACACCACACTCTCGAAATGTAACTTTTCTGTCGAGGCTTTCGTTGAAGAAGGTGTTCGCGATCAACATCCCCGTGCCCGCGCAGAACTCTAACAATAGTTCCTGGTTTGGCACGTCGACTTCGTGGACGGCTTCGCGCCCCCAGCCGAACTCCCCAACAACGTCTTCTTCTCCAGGGTGTTGTTGTCCAACCCTTGCGTTGTAGTCCCCAAGCAAGAACTTGGCGTAATTTGCTCGGCACGCCCTGTACTCTTTGTCCAACGTGCTGTAGAAACTGGTACGCTCAGGGAGCGGCTTCAGATTGTGGGGGGCATAGGCATTGAAGATTCCAATTGTGCTTCCTTTAATGCGCAATTTGAGTATGCACAGTCTGTCCGGTATTTGTTTGTATGACTGTACATACCGGCAAAGCTTTGGCGCCACTATAATACCCACCCCGGCCCAAGATAGTGAGTCTTCGTTTGATCCAGATAAAATAAAAAGATGCCCGTCATGGTGGTACACGTCCGCCTTTGTTTTTCGAGTTTCCTGTATACACAGCACGTGAATCTTGTGATGTTCCATATGTTTAATCAGCTCAATTGTTTTTTCTTCGGTAAGCCCACATACATTCCAAGTTCCACATTTGATTGCCTCTAGTTCTTGAACCTCTGGTTGGCTATGTACACGTGAAGCGAAGGTGGTAGCTTTGCCCAAATCGTTCGCTCCAACATGGTTCAACTGAGTGGTGTCCCCCATCGGCGTGGAGGGTGAAACTGTGTCTCTGTACTTGTGGCGTCTTCAAGCTGCGGGCTTACCTTTGCCCACTCCTTTGGACGCAGCTGCCGCACTTTTCTCCAATCGTTCCGCAATTGTCTTTTGTAGCTCCTGCCATTCGGGAGCCTTGTGGAGTTCTTCCCACGTCTTCCATTTTTCATCGATCCACTCCATGTGCAATTTACCACTGACAACACATACTTTGAGTATCTCTTTCCCCCCAGCTTTGAACATCCCGGTGTCCCCGTCGACCTTGAGGAATTTCTTGTCGAAGCCCCACTGCGTAAGAAGGTACCGCAGCCCAAGTAGTAGTGAGGTGGCAGCCCGCTTCTCCATGGGGGCGTCTTTGTTGCACCACACTCGGCGTGCCCCCTCTTTTGGCTTTTGTTGGCAGCAGGCTGCTTGCAGAATTGGTAGTGCTACTTCTGCGGCATGTGAAGAAATGAATTCCGAAAAGAGCATGCCTTTGAAGTGTTCTTCTGCCGGGCCTTTTTTGTAGCTTTTCAATGGCAGGTCGCACTGACCTTCTGTAAGTGTTTTTGTTACCCATTGTTCGGCTTCGGCTACTGTGTTGTGTGGCAATCCACCGAAAACCAGTGTTGATGTATTGCATTGCCCATTCGCGGAAGATGCTCCGGTAGATCGTGGCGTGATAGTTGCTTGTTGTAGGGCTTCCCGGAGTTCTGCGATTTCTGCTCGTAGCTCGCCATGGGTGCTGGCGATGTCTTCCCTCGTTGTTTCGATGTCATCCTCCAGGTTGGTAGTCCTGATATTGATCTCCTCCATCTCCGCTTCCATCGTCGTCTTGAAGGCGTGAAGGTCCGTGCTCATGGACTTGTTGGCCCTCATGACCGGAAGCATGTATTGGCGGAAGATCTTGTGCATGGTTGCTACGGTCACTGGCGCATTTGGGTTCTCGATGTCCTCTTCCTTCGGTAGGTCGTCGAACTCCGGCTGGAATGTATTTGAACGGAACGCCGATGCAGCCTCCCCCAGTCCGTGTTGAAGAGCAGTTTGTTGGGCAGCGACCGGACCGGTGTCCATGGCGGCACTCGGGCTGCCAAGGCGCGGCTGCTTGAGTGCGCTCTTCGGCGGCGGTGTGGCCAGGGCGTAAGTCTCAGGATGTTCAGGTCGCTTCGGTCCTCCACCAGTCGGTTGCACAGAACCGCCACCTGCAGAACCATCAGGTCGGTGCTGCAGAACTGCCTTCACGGGAGTGCCTGGCGTACGAGTTGACATAGTGGATTCCCAATGTGTCCACAGAAAGAAGCAAGAGAAGTAAGATGGATATGAGTAAAGAGTAGGTAGGTCGGATCGTACAATAGGGAAGGCGGCTATGCTTGAGCTGGTCTTGAGCAGTTTGACCCTTGAGCCAAAATGGCTACGGAGGAGGAGGAGGAGGAGGAAAACAGTGAATGCTGGCAATTGGCGCCTTGAGGTCTTGAAAGTCTAAGTTGTGCAGGTACGGTGGCACCACTCCCTACGGCCGTCTTCGTTGGCCGAGGGAGCGTAGAGAGAGCTCGGCCCCCTCCAGCACCAATGACGGCTTCATGGATTGGTGTACTGACGGGAGTGGGACCCCGGCAGCCCCTATGATGGTAGTTGCCGAGGGGTGTCGCCTATGATAGTCACCTTCGGAGGGGCAGAGGCCTATGCTGGTCCTCGCCAGAGAGGAGGGGAAGGTGGGGAGGCCGATGCCCGGTATCGTCTGGCCGTCCGTGATGCGTCCTGCTCCTGAGGCGGGAATTTTTGAAAGGAGGGGGCAAACCAAAAACGGCATACGCAGTTTTGACTCCGAACTGAGTAGGCCCTGCGCACTCGGTATCCACAGGGGGGGGATAACGAGTGCGCATGCTCACGCTTTGGTGCCAGTTTGTTGCGCACATTGGGGCGAACAAAACGTGCCCTCCCAGGGGCAAACCACGGGCCCCGGGGACAGGGAGGAGGGGAAGGGAGGAGGAGGAGGAGGAGGAGGAGGAGGAGGAGAAGGAGGAGGAGGAGGAGGAGGAGGAGGAGGGAGGGGAGGGGGAGGAGGAGGGGGAGGGAGGAGGGGGAGGGAGGATGAGGGGGAGGGAGGAGGGGGGGGGAGGAGGAGGGGGGGAGGGGGGGGGCCTCCCAGTCCCACGTCCGGACTCCGAGGAGGGGGGGCCTGCCCTGTGCCAGGGAGAGGGGGGGCCTATATTGTCCCATGGGGGGTGGCCTACTTTGTCCCCGGCGGGGGGACCTACTCTGTCCCAGGGGGGGCCTACTCTGTCCCAGGGGGAGGGCGGCCCCCCCTACTTTGTCCCATGGGAGGGGGCCTACTTTTTCTATTCTATCAATCCCAGGGGGGGGGCCTACCTTGCTCCAAGGGGGGGGGGCCCTACTTTGTCCCAGGGGGGGGCCTACTCTGTCGCAGGGGGCGGCCTCCTCTCCCCCAGGGCGGGGTCCTACTCTGTTCCCGTGACCCTCGCATCGCTGTCGCACGCCGCCACACGCCGTCGACCCCGCGGGGGCTGCTCTACGGTTCGGTTCGCTCGGCTCGGTTCGTCGGGAAGGTCCAGTCCGGCCGAGTCGGTGTCCGAGGTCGGCCAGGTCCGGTTCGGCCGGTTCGTGTCGAGGGCCGGTCCGGTTCGGCCGATTCGTGCCGTGGGCAGGTTTCCGGTCCTCGGATCGGTTCGCGGCCATCATGAAAAGTAGGTTGAACAGGTCGGGCTGGCGCCGGTTTAGCTCTATGGGGGTCTTGTCTTAGGGATCCTCTTCGGCAAATGTTGACTTGCCACGCTTATGTCATCGGGGAAGGTCTCCTGCACCACCGTGTTGCCAATGCTTTTCCGAACGGTTTTGAAACACATCAGTTCATAGTGCCCCGAATGAGAAGGCAGGAGGAGGAGGAGGAGGAGGAGGAGGAGGAGGAGGAGGAGGAGGAGGGGAGGGGGAGGGGGGGGAGGGGGGGGGAGGGGGAGGGGGAGGGGGAGGGTGGGGGGGCATACGGCCCTCAATGTGTCAATCGTTGCCAATGCTTTTCCCAACGAGGTGAGAAACACATGGATCTGAGGAAGAGGAGCAAGAGGAGAAGGACGAGTTGCAGGAGGAGAAGGGGGAGGAGGAGGAGGAGGAGGAGGAGGAGGAGGAGGAGGAGGAGGAGGAGGAGGAGGAGGAGGAGAGGCCTGGGTGGTCCTTGGGTCCTCTTGGGACGTCCCTGTTGCCTCGGAGGAGCCTCTTGGGGGCCTCCCCGGTGATACTGGGCGCCTCCCTGGTGGTGCTGGGCGCCCTTTTGGGCTCTCTCGGGGCCATCCAGGAGGAGATCGATCACAGGAGGGGGGTAAGAAATTTAGGTCCCCCCCTCGGAGGCTCCAATGTGGGCTCTGGAGGCCTTCTTGGGTCACCTCTTGGGGCCGTCTTGAGGCCGTCTTGCTCTCCTCTTGGGCCTCTCTAGGGCCATCTTGGGGCCATCGTGAGGCCTAAGAGGCTCATCGGAAGCGAAAAAACGAGAAGTCGAAAAACAATTTTCACATGGTTTTGGAGGATGTTGGCCTCTTGGGGGGTGCCCTGGGAGGCTCGAAGGGCACTCGGAACCGTCCTGGGGCTGTCTTGGGGCGTCTTGGAGGTATGTCGGAGGCTATTTTGAGCGATGTTGAGGTATATTGAGTGACCTCGGAGGCCGTTTTGGGCTGCCCAGGCCTTCTTGGAGCCATCTCGGGCCATGTTGGGCGGTCTGCCGGCTCGGCACACCCTCCACCCAGGCCCAGGGGAGGGGGTAGGGGCCCCCGAGCTGGGCAAGGAGGGATTGTGGCAGGGAACTGGGAACAACTCGTGAAACCACTCAGCTCAGAGGACTCGTGGGATTTGCAATGGCGTGAGGCGACACCTGCACGTGCACCTCTGTCGCGGATTGTCGCCCTCGGGTTGGTCCCTGGCCCCTGCCGCTTCTCGTGCTGAGCCCCTGGCCGCTCCGCGGCGGCACCCGCCGTGTGAGCGCTCTCCCTCCCTCCTCCCCGCTGCCGCTGCCGCTTCGCCTCTCTTTTCCGCCCCCTGCCGCCGGTCCCTTCGCGCTCTCCGCTGCTTGGCCCGCTCGAGCGCGCGCGCGGCCGGCCCCTGCCGCGCTGCGGCGAAGAGCAGCGTGCCGGCCTGCGGGCAGCGGCGCCGTCCCCCCCGCTGCTGGCCTCCTCGGGGTCCTGCAGCTGCTCTGCCGCCTCGGGTGGCTCACGTTTCCCCTCTCCCCCCCCCCCCCTCGACGGCCGGCCCCCCCTCGGAGACGTGCCCTCCCCCCCCCTGCCTCGTCGGCTTCCAGAGGCGTCCACGGGGGGGGCGAGGACCCAGGGGCGTGTGGTTCCCGTGATTGGGGCAGAGGTATCTCCCAGATTCCTTGGGCACCTGTCCTTCGTTCCTACTCTCCTCGCCTTCTTCGTCTTCTTCTTCTTCGTGTTACTACTAGTATCCGTAGTGTCAGTATGACGAGTGTTAGTCGATTTCTTCTTTGATGCTTATTCGTAGATCAGTAGACTCCTTGTTGTTCTGATTACGAGTCTTATGTTTACTCGTTTTCTTTTTTCGTCTTCTTCTTACCACTGCTGATCATTAGCATTCAGAGTAGTAGCACCGTTGTTGCTACTACTCCTTGTTCGCTTCGCGCACTCTCTCTCTCTGCTTACCGCTGGCATGTTCCTCCTCACTGGCACCCGTCGTTCCACACGCCCCCATGGCCAGCCCTCCTTCGTTTAGGGGAACAAAAAAGTGGCATAAACATAAAAACTCGGAGGTCCGCGCGGATTTCTCGGATCGGCGCTGGACCCCCCTCCCTGGGGCGCGGAGGCGCCGCCGGGGGGGCCCCAGCGCCGATCCGAGAAATCCGCGCGGACCTCCGAGATTTTATGTTTATGCCACTTTTTTGTTCCCCTATCGTCCGCGCTCGTGCCTCGGGCCGCGACGCGCCGCACCCCCCCCTTCTTCCGCCCCCCGTCGCGCCGCGACGCGGGGCGGCCTGCTGCCGCGACCCCCGAGGAGCGCGGCGCGCCTCCCCTGCGCACCGTCCCCGCCGCCGCCGCCGCCGCCGCCGCCGCCGTCGTCGTCGTCGTCGTCGTCGTCGTCGTCGTCGTCGTCGTCGTCGTCGTCGTCGACGTCGTCGGCGTAGTCGTCCACCGCCCAGGGCGCCTGAGCTGGGCTCCGTGGTGCCGGGCCGAGGGCCGAGCCGGCTGCAGCGGCTGCGCGGCGGGACCCCGCAGGGGGCGCAGAGCGACGGCCGGGAGGGCAGCGACGCCCAGGAGAACAGCGACGACCAGGACGGCTTCTTCTTCTTCTTCCTTTGTGCGCCGTCGTGTGGCTTCTCAGGGCACTCCACGGGCCCTGGGGCAGTCAGACGAGGGCTCGGGACAGCGACGCCCAGGAGACAAGGCATGATTAGGACGGCCTCTTCTTCCCTGATCTCGCCGTGAAGGATCAGGGGGCCTGAGAGTTATGCCCCCCAAGGTTTGTTCGCCGTGTTTGCCCTTCTGGGGCCTTGGAAAGGGCCCCAGGACAGTAAGAGAAGGATTCAGGACGAAAAGTTCGTCCCAGGGGGAAGCCCTGGGGTTCAGGACCCGTTTCCCTCAGGACCCGTCTCTTTCATGCCAACTGATGCCCTCCCCACACGGCAGACGTGGGGCGTCCTGGCTCTGAGAGCAGAGGTTGTTCAAGATCGAGGGGCCCCGCGATGGCAGCAGCCAGAGCCCGCGCCGCGACGGGAAGAACCAGCCCTGTCCTGTTCTGTTCGGTGGGGTGCGTTGGTCGTCCACCTCAGAGCTCTGACTGAGTGGTGGTTGCTCACCACTCACCAAACCACCCCAACCCAACCCGAAGGCCTCAATTTGACCTCCATTTCCAGTTGGGGGGGGTCGGGGAACATCGAGAAAACACATATGGAACCCGTACCCCCCCCAACCCGAAATTCGGGTCTTCGGGTTGGGTTGGGGTGGTCTGGTAGGTAGTCAGTTGCCGATGCACTGGCTCTATGTAGGCTGGGCGGCATGAGCTCTCGACAGGACACCGCGACTTTCCTCTCTGATCCGACCCTCCCCTCTGCCCGCTCCACCCTTCTTGAGGGGCCGGGGAATTGTCCATGGCTGCTGGGTGGGCGGGCCTCGCCAGGGACATCCAGGGACCCTTGTAAAAGTTCGTCTCCGCCTCCTCCCACTCCTCTTCCTCCTCCTCCTCCTCCTCCTCCTCCTCCTCCTCCTCCTCCTCCTCCGTGTTGGCTGGGAGTCCTGGCTGTTTGCCAGGTGGGCACCTCTTGTTGGCTGGGAATTCCAGGTGTTCCCCTGGTGGGCGCCCGTGGGCGCTTCGTGGGCGCTTCGTGGGCACCTCGCGTTGGCTGGGAGTTCTGGCTGCTCGCGTTGTGGGCGCCCCGTGGACACTTCGTGGGTGCCTCGTGTTGGCTGGGTGTTCCAGGTGTTCGCTTGGCGGGCGCCCGTGAATGCTTCGTGGGCGCAACGTGCGTTGACTGGCCTTTCGCTTCCATGACACATCTTGCACCCCATAGCTAAGACCACATAGCTTGCACTACACAGCTTCCCCCACACGCCGCATAGCGTGCAACACGAAGTGTGCACCACATAGCTTGCATCACGCAGCCTGCACCACATACAAGTTGCACAACATGTAGACTACCCCGTATAGTTCACACCAGTGTTCTTGCACCGCATTGCTTCTACCACATGGCTTGTACCACATGTCGTACACCGCACAGCCTGCACAACACAATCTGAACCACTTATATATATATATATGTATCACAATATGTAGCATACGTCAAGCATGTTACATTTCATAGCTTGTGCCGTGTAGCTTATACGTCATAGCTTGCACAACACAGCTTGCACCACATAGCCTGCGGCACATGGCTTACATCACCCAAGCTTGCGCCGTATAGTTTATATCACATGGTTTGCACAGCGTCGCCTGCATCACATGGCCGTCACGTACCACACTATGTGCGCTACATAGCTTGCTCTCCCCGCACACACATGCAAACACACACACACACACACTTGTTGAGCCACATATCTTGCACCTCACAGCTTGCACCTACTTACACAACATAGCCTGCACCGCATGGCTTCCACCACATGTGTCGCACCATGCAGCTTGCGCCACGCAGCTTGCGCCACGTAGAAAACACCGAAAGTCTTGCACCGCATAGCTTCACATGCAGAGTGCACGAACGGGCTGGTTGGTGCCCACGCTGGCAAACATCATAAACTCACCAAATCTGATATCCCCATCTGTTAGTCCAGCCAGCCGTGCGACTGCGAGCCCACGCGATGTTCCCCCCCCCCCCCGCTGGCATGGAAAGCCCCCAAATGACACATTGATTTCCCCCCCGATCCTTATTCCTCATCAGGCCGTATAAGACGATCTATGAGAGATTCTGGCATACAGAAGGGGCTTCGACGATAAGCCACCAGGCCCTAAAACGGGCCCCAACAGGCCCACGTATAACCATAACGCCCCGAACACCTAAACATTGCGTAAGTGATCACGGCTGTTGCGCGTGTTTGACATTCTCTTGTTTCTGGTTCAGGTTGATTGCGAGACAGGCTTCAGAGGTTTGCAAGAAGGTCCATGGGGCTTCTGCGAGTCCCCAAGACGGCCTTCCAGCCAAAATGGCCCCGCAGCTCGCCAGAAGGACCCAACGGCGGCAGGCCGTACTGCCCCAAGAGGGCCCCAAGCCATCACTGCCCAACCCCCATAGAGGTGTTCACGTGGCGCTGGCAGTAAAGAACAACAGTTACCATGTTGTGGCCCACATGCTGTTCAGGCGCGGGGCGTGATGTTGGGATCCCACAGGTTCATGTCTTCACTTGGCGCAGGCTCGGTTGTGAATCAAGAGCGCGGGCTCAAACTGGGTTCCGCTGTTCAAAATCGCGCAGTTGCAGCGGGAGTCTGTTTGAGGCGCACCTTCTTGTTGCTCTTGACGTCGTCGCTTCGCCACCCGCCTACGTTAGTGTGCTCGTACATGGCTGGCCCTACCACGACCCAGCTGCGACATTCTGGCGACCCGCGCCCGCGGCCCGCGACCCGCGCCCGCGACCCGCCCCCGCGGCCAACCCCCGCGACTTGCGCTTTTTCGACCCAGCAGTCCGCAGCCTGTGCCTGCGACGCGCACAGGCGACCCGCGCCCTTCTGCCCGCACCCCCGCCCTGGGCACGCAGCACCCACGACCTTCTCCTGCCTCCCACGTCCTGCGCCGTGCAGCGCGCGGGTCCTTTGGGAAATGGGTCCTGAGGTTTTTTCGCCGTGGGGACCCTCGACGGTCCCTGAGATGGTCAGCGAACGGCCAAACAGGACGAGAAGGTGTTCCTGGGGGAAGGCCCTGGGGTCCAGGACCCGTGTCCCTCAGGGTCCTGGTCTCTCATGCCAAGTTCTGTTTGCGACCCGCTTGCACGCTTCTGGCAGGTCGCACGTGAGAAATGTTTGCGTCCGCGAAGGGTTTCTCTTCGAGCGCGGGACTCCCCATATGCCAGCGGCAGTCATGCGACCCGTTCGCGATCAGCTCGCCACCCGCCAGTTCTTGTTTGCTTACTTTACACACATCACATTGTTTGGTTGCGATACGTTGGCGCACGCGGAGGCCAGATGTTTATGTAACGTGTGTGTGTGTGTGATCGTCTTGTTCATCATGCCATCGCCGCCTGTGCGATTACTTCCCAAACTTGCTTGCTCCGCTTGTTAACCCTGCAAGCCGGCCACGCTATAATCACGTACGTCGCACCCTTCTCTTTACAGCGTGCGCACCATTCTAATCACAACCACCAGCGAGTCGAGCTCTGCTTCACCAGCGTGGGTGCCGAGGATAGCTCCTGGCTTGACATCAGTGGGTGGGGTGAGATACGTACAACGTCGGTCCCGCCAGACCTGGAGAGGTGCGCGAGGTTCCGACGGGTGCTGAGGCTGTCAGGTGGACCTGGCAGAGTGCCGAAGGTTTGGTCGACCAGGCAGGCAGGAGCGTCGCGAGTCACTCGCCCTCTCTGCCGTCGCGGGAAAAACCTCCAGCTTTCCCTCCCGCTCCCTCTCCTCAGATGGACGATATTCTGAGCCGACCCCCCATATGACAAGATGTTCCCGCGTGGATTTGCAAGCTGAAAGCTTTGCAAAGTTCAGCGGTAATTCGCAAATCGTGTCAAAGGGTAGTTTCGCACCCAGTTGTCATGCCAGATTCATTGGAGTAGGTCCCGCTTCACTGAGGACATATGGCCGAACTGCAAAAACTGATGGTCCAGCTGGCTGGATTGCCAGCAGCTTCGAGCGCAACGGAGGCTCGCGTGCAGACACGGCCGGATATGGCGGCACCATTGGCCGATGACTGCAGCAGAGCGCCCCACGCCAGCAGTCGCATACACCAGGGCGCCCTCGAGGGCGCGAAGTTATTCGCGCTTCGCGGTTCGGCTCCGATTCCTCCTCATCCTCCTCTTCTCCCCTGGGAGGCGGCGCGAGAGCGCGAAGTTATTCGCACTTCGCGCTCCGCGCAGCGCGAAGCGCGAATTTGGGAGCCCTTGCGTACATCATCTTGGGCCCGTCCGCCCTGCCAATCATCACGCAACACGCTCGAGGGCTGGCCCAAATCCTAATCTGCTTTAGGCGCCTTCCTGCTTCAAGAGTCGAGCGGTGTTCCTTCTTTCCGCCTCTTCAGGGGGCGGGTGGAAGCCCAATCTACTTCCAACGCCTTCCTACTTCGTGTTTCAACCCATTTCTTCCGACTGGCGTGTACCGCTGTTCCCAGGTGACCCAGCCTCGCCTCTGCAGCGCGGCCTGGCACGAACCTCCCGTCGTGCGACTCGGCAAAATTGTCGGCCCCCGGCGTTCCGCAAGATAACTCGCTGTGGGCGCATCTGTGGTACAGATGATGGTTTCGGAGCTAAGATTGTTCACGCACATGTATCAACCATTCCGCGCATCGCTGCTACATCTGTTCTGACATGTGCGTTGTTCCATCATCTCTCCTGTCATTCACTTCGGAGCCACCGTCAGTCATGCCACTCGTTCCATCTGATATTCATTGGCTTACGGTACGCCGCCGACCCCTTAAGGCGGCAGCAATCGTCCCCCGCGTGGCCTGTCCGGACAGCCTGTGAGGCCCCTCCAAACACGTTTTGGAGCCCTCTTAGGACCGTCCTGCCGTTCCCCCTGGCCGTTGCTATGGTTTGTGGGGCCTTCGTGGGGTACCCGGAGGCCGTCGTGGAGCCTTTTGGAGAGTCTCTTGGGGTGCCTGAGGTCGATCTTGGAGGTTTACTGGGCCGTTGTGGGCCTCG